TGTATAGGGCTTTGTAGGTCAAAAACAGCACTTTGAATTGTGCTCAGGAATGTGTTGGCAGCCGGTGGAGAAGCTGCAACAGGGGAGTTGTCCACTTCTTCTACCCAGCCCCAGTTAACTTTGGATCAACTGAAGTTTCTGAGTACTTTTCAAAGGAAGGGCCACGTAGAGCACATTACAGTAGTCCAGCACATTACAGTAGTCCAACCAAGGCATGTACCACTGTGGCCAGGTACAACTTCTCCAGGAACAAGAGCAGTTGGTGCACTAGCTTTAGTTGTACCTGGGCCTCCAGGTTAAAGCTGAATCCAAGAGTACTCCCAAACTGTGTACCTGTGTTTTCATGGAGAGTGTAACTCCATCTAGCATGAGCAGAATCCCTAATCCCAGATCATCTCTGTCTTATCTGGATTAAGCTTTATTTGCCCTCATCCAGACCATTACAGCTATTAAACACTGGCTTAACACAGGAACTGCTTCCTTAGAATTAGGTGGAAAGAAGTAATAGAGTTGAGTGTCTATTGAGTGGAGTATAGATGGCACCACACTCCAAAACTCTGGATGACACCTCCCAGAAGTTTCATGTATATACTAAAAAGCATGGGAAACAACACAGAGCTCTGAGGGACCCCACAGGTCAAGGGCCAGGGATTCGAACAGCAGCACCACTTTCTGGGTATAGCCCTTCAGATCTGAAGAACAATATCTTCAAGCCCCATTCCAGAAAGGTGACTCAGAAGGACACCATGGTCAATAATATTGAAAGCCATTGAAAGGTCCAGGAGAATCAACAGGGACACACTCCTGTTGTCCAGCTCTCTATGTAGGTCATCCACTAAAGCAACCAAAGCTGGCTCTGTCCCATAACCAGGCCTGAAACCAGATCTAGATAATCTGATTCATTCATGAGACCTTGGAGTCAAGAAGCCACCTCACTCTCCAGCACCTTGCCCAGAAATGAGAGATTGGAGCCTGGCCTGTAGTTCTCAAGTACAAGTGAAGCCTAGGAAAGGTTTTACCATAGCTTCTGCTCAGAGGCCCTCCAAGAGAGCCTGTCTTCTTTGTGGAAAAAGGGATACTATCCAGAACATCACAATGTCATGGGATTGTATTCATCCCATTCCCATGCTTTTCAGAGAAGCTCAACTGGATTTTAAGTGGACTTAGAGCAAGAAGGAATATTGCAAAATGGTTGAAAACATGTTTCTCAAGTGTTAGATAATCCTGATGAGGATAATCCTTTACCAATGAGAATCTTCATAGCTTCAGAGTCATTCTGTACATCTCAGTTTCATTCAACAAACCATGTGATTCATGCTTTCTTTCTGTCCCTTGAAGGGCACCTGTGTTTTATTGCAAAGGGGAAATTATTATCTCCAAGAACAGAAACATAAGACTCCCTACCAGTTGTCATGAGCAGAAAGGGAGAAATGCTGTTGCCTTTACATCCTTTTGGTGTTTTCTCCATAGACATTTGGAATAATAATAATAATGTATTGTCGAAGGCTTTCATGGCTGGGATCACTGGGTTGTTGTAGGTTTTGGGCTCTACATGCCAATGGATACTCCAACTCAGACATCAGAAGAGCTTTAAGACCAAGAACAAGCCACGAGAGTAAAGATGAAGATTCACCCAGAGGAAAAGTGTTCTTGCCATACATCAAGGGAACCACTGACCGCTTAGGGAAACTGATGAGGAAACACAACATACAAACCACTTACAGACCCACCAAGAAAATCCAACAAATGCTACGTTCAGCAAAGGACAAGAGGGATCCTCTCACCTCTGCAGGAGTCTACCGTATACCATGCAGCTGTGGACAAGTCTACATAGGGACCACCAAACGCAGCGCCCAGACACGAATCAAGGAACATGAAAGGCACTGCAGACTACTTCAACCAGAGAAGTCAGCCATAGCAGAGCACCTGATGAACCAGCCTGGACACAGTATATTATTTGAGAACACAGAAATGCTGGACCACTCTCACAACCACCATGTCAGACTACACAGAGAAGCCATTGAAATCCACAAGCATGTGGACAATTTCAACAGAAAGGAAGAAACCATGAAAATGAACAAAATCTAGCTACCAGTATTAAAAAACTCAAAAATTACAACAGCAAAACAACAGAGAGTAAACAATCAGGCACATCAAATCACTCTCAACAAAAGATTCCCCCAGGCACTTCCAAGCCATTAAATGCTAATCAAGGTGGTCAGTTGAAACATTCACACCTAGCTCCAGCAGACAAGAGTACTTTGTCCCACCCTGTCATTCCACAGATATATAAACCCATTTTCCTAGTTCCAACAGACCTCACTACCTCTGAGGATGCTTGCCATAGATGCAGGCGAAACGTCAGGGGAAAATGCCTCTAGAACATGGCCATATAGCCCGGAAAAACCTACAACAACCCAATAATAATAATCTTTATTTATATCCCGCCACCATCTCCCCAGAGGGGATTCGGAGCGGCTTACATGAGGCCAAGCACGGCAATACATAACAGCAAAATAAAATACAGAACAACAAAAATAACATCACAATAAATAAAACATTCAAGTAAAATAAACAGTGCAAAATAACATAATGGAAAATCAGTGGAACATCAAACACAGTGGGCGGGCCAAATGCATGACATAAAATGATAAAACTCTGGATGAGATAGCAATGGGAAAGATATATTTGAGGGGGAAGGAGCTCATAGGGGATGGAATGGTGGAATTAGGCTTTCAATTGGGGGGGGGGGGTAAAAGTGCAATATGAGGACAACACTGTAGAGCTAGTTAGGATTTTTGTTTCAGAGAGACGGGATCTTGCTGCATCCTCAAAGAGAAACAGGACCACACTGTTGGTCTAGCCTCTGATATCATATTCGCTATAACGATTCCCTTAATGTTCATGTTTTCAGAACATTATCTCCAGATAGTGAAACTGAGTAATATAAAAATTAGAATGTGAACTGGCTTAAAACATCAAGCAGGAGATATGGCATAACCTCTGCGTGCCATGGACATTTACAAAACAGTCAAGACTTGAGAATAAACCTGACTCAAAAAGATTTATAGAGGAATCAAGGCCTGCAGAGTTCTGAAGAATGGGAAGCTTAGCTTAGCATTTCTTTATCCTTTCCAGTTGATCGGATTGACCAAGGGCTCTGTGTTCAGATGTGCAAGAAATAACATTTATTATCAAAAACCTTGTGGCTATTTCTTGACAACAGGAACTTTCTCTAGGATACTTTTGGAGAAAAAAAATGTCAGTATGCTTCTACAGTAGATGGCCATGCAAGGGAAAGGAAAACAAGCTGGAAGCTAAATTATTGTTTGTAGCATAGTGCTTCCTTCTTTGAGCAAGTTATATCCAGTTTCTCCCCCCCCCCCTCTTTTTTCATGCTGAAATCTTTTCCTCTAAAGGATGAAATTAATCTTAGAGGTAAATTATTGAATCAGCACCATATTGGCCACTAAAATTTTCCAGTACAAGATTGGGGAGCTTATGTCTACTTTGTTAATTGTAGCAATAATATGTTTCATGCTTATGTCTATGCTTGATGTTTTTATAGTTTTAATGGTTATTTTCTACAATTATATGTTATTGATTTGGATATGTGATATTTTTGTATATATGTGAGGCATTGAATTTGCCATTTATTATGTTGTAAACAGCTTTGAACCCCCTCAGGGGTGAGAAAAGTGGTATAGAAATGCAGTAAATAAATAAATAATGCAGCTCTGTGAACATTTCAGTCCCTTTCCCATACAATTTGAGGGATCTCTGTGCGAGAAGGGTCCAAATGTTTACATCATTCCCTTGTCATCCTTCCTATCCATCTGCATATTTAGACAGATACGACTGTTCAAATGTTTGAATCAAATTAGAAGGCATGATCATCAAGTTTGCAGATGACACCAAATTGGGAGGGATAGCCAATACTCTAGAAGACAGGAGCAGAATTCAAAATGATCATAACAGATTAGAGAGATGGGCCAAAACTAACAAAAATGAAGTTCAGCTGGGACAAATGCAAGATACTTTACTTAGGCAGAAAAAAAGAAATGCAAAAATACAGCATGGGGGACGCATCACTCAAGAGCAGTACGTGTGAAAAAGATCTTGGAGTCCTTGTGGACAACAAGTTAAACATGAGCCAACAATGTGATGCTGTGGCAAAAAAAGCCAATGGGATTTTGGCCTGCATCAATAAGAGTATAGTGTCTAGATCCAGGGAAGACATGCTACCCCTCTATTCCACCTTGGTTAGACCACACCTGGAATACTGTGGGTACCACAATTGAAGAGAGATGTTGACAAGGTGGAATGTGTTCAGAGGAGGGCGACTCAAATGACCAAGGGTCTGGAGAATAAGACCTATGAGGAGTGGCTTAAAGAGCTGGACATGTTTAGCCTGCAGAAGAGAAGTCTGAGAGGAGATATGATAGCCATGTATAAATATGTAAGAGGAAGTCATAGGGAGGAGGGAGCAAACTTATTTTTTTTACCTCCCTGGAGACTAGGACACGGAGCAATTGCTTCAAACTACAAGAAAGGAGATTCCATCTGAATATTTTGATGAACTTCCTAACTGTGAGAACTGTTCAGCAGTGGAACTCTCCGCCCCAGAGTGTGGTGGAGGCTCCTTCTATGGAGGCTTTTAAACAGAGGCTGGATGGCCATCTGTTGGGGATGCTTTGAACGTGATTGTCCTGCTTTTTGGCAGGGGGTTGCACTTGTGGATGGCCCACAAGTTCTCTTCCACTCTGTGATTCTATAATTATATGATTCTGAAATGTTTGTTGCCTTGTTTTGTATGCTTAATTTTTCCTTATTTATTGTCAGCCAAATGCCAAGATTATATGACAAATAGTTACTCATAGCTTTGAGTTTCTTCTTCAGCCTCACAGTTAAGGAGAAAATGTCATATATATTGAGTCAATCAGTAGAGTACTCAGAACGTGACTGTAAGCAGGAACAATTTGTTTTGTCCAATTTTTCAGGCCCCCTCCTGTGAGCGAAGGTGCACCCAAAGGAACTCAAGTTGTTGTGGTAACTGCTGCTGCCTTGAATCAGACCATTGTCTATTCTATTGTTTCAGGAAATGAAAATGGTAAGTCACATGTGGTCTTGAATAAGGAATAAAGTTTTACAGGAGAGTTATGGAGAGAAAATAACCTTGAATAAACCAAATAAATTTGACAACACAATTTTCAAATGCAGTGTCTTATGCAGCACCAAACACACAATTCTCTACTTTGATGATTAGGGGGAACTATATAACTATGGACTTTTAAAGGGGGTCAGATATGTTTCACAGAAAGTCATCAACGACTTCACCACACTATAGCTCCCAGGATTCTTTGGGTTATACTATTAACACTCGAACAGATGAAAAAGTAATATATCCTATATCCTTATATATAAGCATAGACATTTTTGTCCAAAAATCAATGCAAAAAACAGAATTTTCCTATCCATGAGGCATGTAACCATGACTCTTATATATCTATATAAATAAAAATGTAATGTTCATTTGTGGGATTAACATAACTCAAATACCACTGGATGAATTGAC